TCGACTCCTTGTAACGAACCGGAATCGTTGGACGATTGCGGGCACGAGAGTTAATCGTTAGTCGATCCTTGTAACGAACCGGAATCGTTGGACGATTGTGGGTACGAGAGTTAATCGTTGGTCGATCCTTGTAACGAACCGGAATCGTTGCACGATTGTGGGTACAAGAGTTAATCGTTGAACGATTAGGGTAACGTTGAGTAATCGTCGGATGCGAAAGGTGTCCGCAACGGTCCCGAAACAGACCGAGTGTGGCATCGGCATCGTATTCGGCAGGGGAAGATACCTCTCTCCGAGCCAGCAAGCGAGAGGCATGGCAACGATCACGTCCCTCCCCACAGAACTCATCCATCTCGTGGCGTACACACTCAGAATGCTCTCCGGACGCGATGTGGTCGCCCTCGCCTCGACTTGCACCCGACTCCATACCGCACTCCTCGGCTCACACCATGGTCAGGCACAGGCACGGGCACTCGGCGGATTCGATGTCTGTATGGCGCATGGATGGTGGCGATCGGCGTGGATAGCCATGATGCGGCAGGCCGAGATCGAGGAGTTCATCGAACTGTGGTTCATCGAGAAGTTGGGCCGGCGATCGTGGTCCAAGTCCCGCATGGAGCGCGTGGCCATGGCCAGAGCCATGGATGACGAGTGGTGGCGGAAGGTGGTGGTGGCGGTCATGAAGAGCCGCGCAGCTATCAAGATCAGGAGGCGACAGACGATCATGGGCTTGCGATGGTTGACGGATGACAGATGGATGGGCATGGGGAGTATCATTGCTCTCGGCGGCGGCGAGGAGATGGAGGAGCTGGCGCTCGAGCTGGTGGAGCTGGCCGACGACAACGAGAAGACCACCATGCTCATGGCGGCAGCAGTGAAGGGTTTGCCTCGTCTTGTGGAGCGATTGCTGGAGGAGAGCGGCGTGGATGCCGGACCCGATGACGACTTTCCGCTCCGGGTGGCCGTAGCCGCCGGCCGTGCCGACATCGTGGCGCAGCTGCTGGCCCATCCGTATGTCAATCCGGGGGCAAAGGGCGGCTTTGCCATTCGGACAGCTGTCACCGATGGTCACACTGACATCTTGAAGATGCTCTTGGCGCATCCGCGCGTCAGCCCGTCATCCATCTCCGAGACCGAGTTTGCCTTGCTGGCTAGCGAAGGGGACGCCGACACCTTGGCGCTCCTCTTCGCCCATCCGCGCTTTAGCGTCCGGGCCAGGGACTACGACCTTGCCATCGATTGTGCCATCCGCGAGGGGCACACGCACATTGCCGAGCTGATCGTTGGCAACACATGGGCATTCGAGTCCCGGAGCACCAAGAGCACCTTTGCGTGGGCAGCGAGGGAAGGCCACACCGAGATTGTGCAGCAACTGCTTGCGAATCCAGCTGTGGATCCATCGACAGACAACAACTACGCGTTGCAAGTGGCGAGCATGGCCGGGCATGCAGAGGTCGTCGCGCTGCTTCTGGCTCATCCGCGCGTCGATCCGTGTGTCAGCAACAACATCTCTATTCGGTTGGCCGCAAAGAACAGACACGACCACGTCGTTGCCTTGCTCGCAGCCGACCCGCGCGTCGATGCCGCCGCCGCAAGCGGTCCCGCCCGTTAGCTGCTTTACTTAGGCGCCGCGGTTGATGCCGAGGAGAGGGGATCGCTCCAAGCGCTGGCTGTTGCGACGGCGGCGGATGATAAAGACCATGGCGAGCACCAGGCCGCATACGACGACGGCGCCGACTGCGGCGAGAATGATAGGTGTGGGGCTCGGATTGAAGGTAGAGGGTCCCTGTGCCGGCGGGTGCGGCGACGGCGGCGACGGCGGCGATAGCGGCGACGATGGCGGCGATGGCGGCGATGGCGGTGGCGATGGCGGTGAAGACGATGGCGATGGCGGTGAAGACGATGGCGGTGGTGGAGGACAGGCCGGAGCGGGAGGCGACGGCGGAGACACACTGGTGGCAGGGTAGGCCATGACCGCAATGAGACCCATGGCAGCAAGATCACGACCAGGCGCAGACGGCGAGTCAAAGAGGTTGGAGACAAGAAGCCGAACCGCGCCAGTCTTGCTTGGGATGGTGGTCCGGTTCCACGCCGCCGATCCGGTGGGCGTCAGCTGGAAGATCTTGGCCAATGTGTAGGCTGAGATGATGAGCGTGTCGGGCCCGTCTGGGACAAGGGCCGGGACAGTGACCATGTCAGGCACCTGGCTTCCAATTGTGCCAGGCTCGGCGATGTACTCGCCGACAACAAAGGTCATCGGTGCAGTCTGGACAACGCGGACGACAAAGGCAGTCGGCACGGACGAGTTTTCAACGGCGACGATGATGTCGGCGCGAGGGCCAGGGAAATGGCCTACGGCAATCGCGGTGACCGTTGCCTCTACCGGGCCTTGGTAGACGAGGACTGGCGCGTCGAGACCACCGTCAGAGCCCTTGTTGCGAACAAGCCAGACAGCAGGTGATGAAGAGCTGAAGACGAGGACGTCGTCGAGGCCGTCGCCGTCGACGTCGGCGAGGATCGGCCGGCTCATGCTGGCGTTGGAGAAGACGGGAATGGGCGTCGACAACTCATGCCCGCTGCCATGAGTATTGGCCATCCACGCGAGAGTGTCCGGACTGCTCTCTGCCTCGCCTGGCAGTACCATGACCAAGTCCTGCGCAGGATGTGGGGCGGAGATGGCGGTCATGACCAGGGCCGACGGATGGATACCGGGATAGACCGGCACGAGTGGCTGCGAAAATCCCACGGGGGCGGCCGACATGTTGGCGTACACAAGGCCATCGTCCGCGTTGGCGAGGACGATCATGGCGTGTGCATCTGGCCCGACCGCCGAGAGGAGACCAAAGGTGGCGGCCGATGTCTGGTGTGTCAGATCGATGGGATTGACATGCCAGGCCTTCTTGCCCTGGTTGCCAAGCATGGTAGGACTTGACATGGGCGAAGAAATGAGGATGTCACTGGGCGGCATGGGCTTGGTACTGATCGGAGCTAGAGAGCCAGCCACAAAGGTAGGCACTCCCGACATGGGAGGCAGGAAGCCAGTAGTGATCTTAATTGGTGCCTCATACACGAGGTGTGCACCTGGACCAAGGCCAACATCCGCATCAAGTGTAGCGGCAGCAGGGAGGACAAGGGCGAGGAGCAAGGTAGA